CACACATGCTGACTCATCAGTGGTTGTTTCCTGGATATATTTATTGTTGAGTTGATCGGTGGGAATTAACAGAGTTTGACAAACCAGGCTAGAAGGAGTTTGATCATTTATGTTAAAGTGTGTGTGTGAAATAAGGGATGCTGTCTGTGAGTGCACTGTTGTGTCTGTGCATGTGAGGGAGCTCATGGTGGCAGCGAGTTCTGTTACAGTTTCAGTTTGAGGTTTGACTCATGTTTTGACTCTGGTCTTCAAGAGTCTGTGTTCATGTTCTGTCACATCAGAGTTTGGCTGCTCCTGCATAATTGTTTGAGTCTCAAAACAAACAATATCTCACCGTTTGGTTTTAGTTTTGGTTCATTAACATACTATCTGACATTGATGCTGTCATAATTTTGGATACATGTCACATTATTTTTTGCAAATATAAAAACTAGAATCCCTTTTAACTTTTTTTTATGAATCAGTCCAAGAATTACCTTTCTTTGTTATAGATTCTTGCTTTTATACACCTGCAAATTCACTGAGCCAAGCTATGTCTCAATTTGTGCTGCAACCAAGATTGTTGTTTTTTTTTTTTGCCAAACCAGCTGCTCTCAATGTTTCCCTGTCCCCATCAACAGTGTAGTAAAGTATTTGTTGAAAGCTGCTTAAAATTATGATTAAATGTCAGGCCTGTATTTGAACATTTAGTACAGCTCATATTGAATCTTTATAACATTTTTAATATTGTTTATATTATATATTAACTTTTTGGAGCAATCTGCACTTATAATAAAAAACAAAATCCAAAATCCTTGAATAAAAAATATATATTTAAAACTTACAAATGCTGTGAAGTGATCCCCTTTCTCACATTTTTTAGTTACGATTCATGCTGTATAGCTGTATAACAATCCCATGATGGTCAGTGACCATAACAAATGTGGCACCAATTTAATAGTCACAAACATGGAGTCACAAATCCACAAGGTCATTTGTTCATTTAAAAATAACTATTTAAAATGAAAAACAAGAAATGCAGAGTTTCTGTAAACAATTAAAGCGGATGTTAATGTTGTATGTCTTTGTTCCCCCGTTCACTTCCACATGGGCAAACTGCAACCAAATGTGTGTCACCTGTTTTTTAATCGTAGAAACAATGAGCTCATTCAGCTCTAACATTGGTGGACATATGAGAATAATTTGTGAAAATCTCTCTGTTCGTTTGATAAAATTTGAAATTAAGAGCAGACTTTATTGGTTGTAACACACCAATATCTGTCCTCCTTATAGTCAGATGGTCCAACTCTCTAATATTCAATATCTAAATATGGGTTATAGAGGTTATTAATGCTAGTTTCTGGTTATCCGTATTGTGTGTAAATACACCAGTAAAACAGAGCATATATTATATTTTCTTGTTTTGTTTCCAATGTTTTATATTTAGAACTCAAACATTTCACTTTCATTCTTGGAGTGACTAATAAGAGCAAACAATGGTTAAGTGTCCGATGAATGGCTAAGTGATTATTATAATTCTAATAATATTATAATTGTTACTTATGTAACTTATTTATCTTACTCACTTTGTTGTACTTTCATGTTGCATTCCCAGCTTTCTGGAGTATACACACTGCATCAACCTCCTCACATGAAGCAGTGATGTGGAAGACTGAGACTCTACATCCAGGATTTCCATGACTGCAAAGAAGATGTGTTTACTCTGAACCAGATGAGAAGGATGGATGAATACAGGACCTGCTGGAGAGCGGTGGTCACCTTTCTTTGAGTCGGCTACGCAAGAAAACTTTCAAATGGAGTATGGTGTACAGGTGAATACAACAAACTCACTGTGATGGATATAATGGTTGTACAGAGACGGTAATTTTAGTTTTTGTTCAATTTTCTGAGTTTTGCCTCTTTTCTGGTAAATTATAACAAAGATACAGAGTAAGAGTAAGGTGGTTATATATTTATAATTGTTAATTACTTAATAATCAGGCTGTAAAGTGCATTCTATAGAAAAGGAATATATTGCTGGTTTAGACATAAAACTTCTGTGGTGTAACGTGCAGATGCTGACATGTCAAAGCACTTTATTGCAGCTTTAATATGACATTATATAATATATAACATCATCATGCATTTGGTTCTTTGATGTTACATCAATGTTAAATGAATGAAACTGAATATTTTTACATGAATATGATTTAATGGACAAAAAACCCATACAACTGGAGAGTTTACTTCAGTCTACATGTTTAGTTGACCAGATTTAATGTTATACATTTTTAGACAAGTAATTACAAAAATAGCTTAATTCTTTTACAACCAAATACACAACCAAAAAAAAAAACATTCTCACAAAGTCAAGCTAATACTGTGATATATGACTTGCTAAAACACCAAACTGTATTTAGACATTGTGCCATATATTGACTCCATTAAGCCTTAAAACTGAAACTGATAGAATCTGCAAAAGAAATCAACACATATAATAATGTTAAGTGACAGAAAACCATCAGTTTCCAGTGAAATAATGCTAAGAACTGTGTGGTTTACAGTTAAACCACTCTGCTTTCAATATAATTCCCCACCCAACATATTTTATGATTGTAAAAAAAAAAAAGTTTGTATGTCAGCTATTCTATTTTAGCTTAATGGTATGCAACTCATATACAGATTTCTGTTTTGTACGGGTTTAATACATGATGCACTGATCTTTCTCACCACACCCTTCTAAAGTTAAAACATGTTTTTGGGACTTCACATCATATTTATCCCACTGATACAGAAATAGTTGAGTGTGAGCCAGTAATTCAACTTTTATAAATGATATTTGCAAAAAAAATAAAGCTGCTAAGAGGTTATATTACAAATCGCCTATTCCAGACCTAAACAGGAACTACCACTGCAGGGATATGTGGCCTACATCATATCTGCTGCAACTTAATATGAGCCAGTTTGCAGGTCAGCTACTGGATATGTTTAATTACAAAAAGGAAGTATTACCAATGAACTGAATCAACACTGTAATCCTTCTACTACATTACCTTTGAACAAATTACCTAATTGGAACAGCAAATCCCACTTCCACACATCACATATCTATTTGTGTTCCTCCGATTGATTTGAAGATCATGTGAAAAATCATACAAAAAAATAAAAAATCTTCTAACAACATTAATACTGACCCTGTTTGAAATTTGGTTTGTGGTTGTGGGCAAGAATTGGAATTAGAAAAGTTTAGCAGCCTGTATGTTGATTTGAACTAATAATAATAATTAATAATTAAA